GATCTCCTGCTGCAGAAAACCTAAAATAATCAAATAATAATAATAGAACATGTATCATAATATTCAACAATATATTATATTATTATTGCAATAGTTTAATTACTTTACAAACAGGAGGTAGCTGTCATTATAATGGACAGAGTGGCGGTGGCTGTGGCCCCCGGGACCACCCACCTCAACTACTGGATGACCAAAACTAACTCCTAATAATTTCTGTATCTCCCTATCATCAAAAATCGTTAATAATAAATTAAGGTAAGTAATAAATCATACTGTTGGTTGTCAGCAATGTTGTGAGGGACAAAGAGCATACAGGCATGATACTGAGGTATGATAACCTACCAATTGAAAATAATAAAGAATATTGTATAGTACATACACATGTATATGCCTGTATTATATGGAGGTATTGTGTATTATGTAATTGCATGTAATCGTCCATTGTGTCTGTATATGTATGTGTGGCCATTCATTTATTATCTAATAAAAAGCAATCGAATTCAAGACAATGAATATTAATGATTAATGGTAGAGGTTAGAGTTTAGCCCAACTGATAATGACCGGACAATGTAGGTACAAGTATATCAACAAAAAACCACACACACACACACACACAATACATGTATATAAACTACACTGTACTATGTACCGTGTACTGTCTTGTCAATATTCAATACATGTATATAAACTATACTGTACTCTACTGTGTACTGTGTATATACATATCAATACATATATACATGTACATATAAACTACATGCATACAGTACTATACTGTGTACTGTGTATATACATATCAATACATATATACATGTACATATAAACTACATGCATACAGTACTATACTGTGTACTGTGTATATACATATCAATACATATATACATGTACATATAAACTACATGTATACAGTACTATACTGTGTACTGTGTATATACATATCAATACATATATACATGTACATATAAACTACATGTATACAGTACTATACTGTGTACTGTGTATATACATATCAATACATATATACATGTACATATAAACTACATGCATACAGTACTATACTGTGTACTGTGTATATACATATCAATACATATATACATGTACATATAAACTACATGCATACAGTACTATACTGTGTACTGTGTATATACATATCAATACATATATACATGTACATATAAACTACATGCATACAGTACTATACTGTGTACTGTGCTGTACC